ACACAAAATTCAAGAAGAAATCAAAAATGCCACCTTTGCGGTAAAGGAACAGCAACTCAGACAAACTCTATAGATTCCTGAGAATAGCGAATCAAAAAGCTAAAAAAATGTCAACCGCGGAAAATTTTCAAAATCTCATAGCACAAAGCAAAATATGGAAAAGGGTCAAAAAAGCAAAAAAATATAATTTTAACGAATAAATTGAGGAACTTAATTTAGGTATAGGGAAGAAGGGCTGGCGCTTTGTCAAAGCGTTAAGAGGCGATTATAGCCAGGATTATGTAGGAATTTGGAACAGCGATAACAACCAAAGCTTCTTGAACTCTTTGAAGGACCAGGTCCCAATAGAGACCACACAATTCACATTAAACAGCTCTAGAGAACCTTTTCCCAAGTTGGCTCTAACCTCCGAAGAAATCAAAAACACCATACTTCGAAAAAAAGGACTCAGCGGCAGGCGTAAATCAAATATCCTATAATATGCTAAGACGGTTGCCTGATCTTACTCTAAATAACCTAAAGATATTCCCATTACCGATAAAATTCCGGATCAGTGGAGAATAATTAAAGTGGTACCCATGCCGAAGAAAGATAAAGATCTAAGCGATTTCCGAAATTTCCGACCTATAGCCTTAATTTCAAAAGTCTTAAAAGTAATTAATTCATTTGTAAAAGACACACAATACAACAGCCATCTTCCAACTATAACATATGCCTATAGGAAAAACAAATCAGCCGCAACTTGTCTAAATCAGATGCTTCGCCAATTACCCGTACTCAAAAAAGACAAAAAACACATCATTTTATGCACTACATACGCGTACAACTGCGTTGACATCAATATTTTAAAAACCCAACTTCAAAATCTTAACATTGAGTAACTGTATGTTGATTGGATAGTTAACTTCCTTGCCATTAGGACTCTCAAACTCGGAAGTAACTCCATTGAAATTCAGATCAGAATACACATACATATGTATGCACCAATTTGCAGACGACTTTTTCTTTGTCTCTTCAGGCGGCAGCTTTGAAGATGCCAACCACAACCTTCAGTGTAAATTAAGTCTTTTCTCCACCAAGTGCAACCACCTAAACCTCAAGTTATATTATAAATATAAATAATACAAGGCTTGTACAAACAAACTCTGTGAAAGTCTTAGGCAGAATTCATAACAGCTCTCTCACTTCAAAAGATCATTATAACAATGTAATAGAGATGTCCAGTAAAAACTTAAACCTGTTCAACTACATAGCCAATATCAAGTCCGGCCAACACCCACAAAAAGCATTGAGCATATATGTATAAAGCAATGGTTCGATCCAAGATCGAGTAATGCAACACTACTCTTGCCAATAGTCCCAAATCTGCCTTTAGTAAAAATCCAGATATTACAGAACAAAATTCTAAGAAGATGCCTGGGACTTATACGGTTGACAAACGGGCTCGATTATTTGCATAAACAGCCTTTATTTGCTTTGACTCATGCATTTTCATCTTTAAAATGCGCATAAGCAACGTTGATTACTCTTTTCATATTCCTTTCAAATCGTCGTCAGAATTCGGCGAATTATGAGCACCAAACTTTCCGCTGTCGTGTTCTGTCCGTCCACTCATAGATCCAGCCACAACGTCTTCAAAGAAACATACAGCTTTGAAAAAATCTTCAAAGATAATAATGTAGCCAAAATCACTGATTTAGCAAACTTCTTTCAAAAGGCCAATGCTAAATTTTAAATAATTACTTGCAGCAAACAAGCTACATATGTATGTATGTTATATGTACCATTTTATTGTCATTTTGGTTTTTTGTTTTTCGTATCATTTATCATGTAATGTTTGTACATACATATGTACATATAAGTCGATTCCCCCTCACTCATCCCTACATAATCCGCCGGTGAAGTGCGTCCTCACTTCACGCTCTGTCCAAATACGCAAACCTATCGGTTTACTGCAATTACCTGCTGACAAATCGCTATCATCACCCTTAACTTTGAATCCATACGAGCTGAATTACTGGACGCATCAGCCGAATCTACCGCACAAGCTTCAAAACTAAGCACTATCAAATTAAGGACATTGTTTTGGACGAAAGCTGACTAACTGCCATACCTAAACAAAAGCGTTGGGCGGAGCGGTTTCTGACGCCTAGCGTTAGCGCCGAAGTGCCATACCTAAACAAAAGCGTCAACGCTACGTCAAATGCAGAAATAACACCAACAGTAAGCATAGGTTTGCATGTAACACGAAGATGACAGTTTCGCCGTTTTCTGCAGCCAACTTCAATACCTAACGCCCGGTCAAAATCGGATTCTCCAACCGCTCAGCGTTGACGCCGCGTTGTTTCGGTATGCTTCATACAAATTGTATGGACATGAGAATTTTTTGACAGCCAGACAACGCTGACGCTTTTGTTTAGGTATGGCAGTTAGGAGGAATAACCTGTCGACTGAGGAAAATAGTCTATGCCATTGCTTCAAAACCTAAAAAAA